TCAGGCCCCCAAGATCTCTGTCTGCATTCCTGGCCCTTCCCCACTGGCTTCCCTAGGCAGCAGAAACCCCCGTGGGCCCCTTGTCGTGGGCCCAGAGCTGTGCCAGCCTCCCTCCTGATGAACTCTAGGGAAATAAGGTGGGCTTGTGTCTGGCAGACCCACTTCACCTACCCTAGAGGCCAGGTCCCTTGCCCAAGATTGGCAGGCTGGTGAGAGGGAAGGCTGGCTGCTGGAATTGATTGCCTGTCTGCTCTCTAATGTGCTGGACTGCCAGGGGGAAAGAAGGGGGCCTTTGTAAAGCCCCCAGGTCTTGATGCATTGTGGAGCGCGGGGGTCAGCGAGTGCAGCATGCATGCCCAGGGTGACTGGAGTGCGCGTTCATGGGGGATATCTGAGGGGTGAGGGTCAGGGTGTAACTGAAACAAGCTCAGGGGCTCATGCGGTGGGAGGGGCACCCCAGACTGGCCTCATCTGACCCCTCCATCTCCCAGGCAGGCCCTGGGGGTGGGGCTCAGGGTGCAGAGGAGGCGACTTCACAGATGCACATGGGGTGGGGGGAGCTATCCGCGCAGGTTCCGGGAGAGTCCTGGGTAGGGTGTCCACCCCCAGCTGCCTGCAGGGAGAGGACATGAGACTAGATTATACGCAGGTATCATTCTCTCCCTGTGGCCACCGGCTGAGGCTGCCCTGAGTCAGACCTTGTTTTGAAAAGGATTCCCTGTTTTCCAGTTGGAGGTGGAGGTGGAGTTGGGGGAAGGGGTGTTGTTAGAGTTAAGAACACAGACTTCAGAGCCAGTCATTTGCTGTGTGAGCTGGGACGAGTGACACTCCCTCTCTGAGCCTCAGTGACCTCATCAGTCATCACCATGGACCTCTTCTCTGTGAAGCGTCCACGGAGACTGCATCTCCCAGCGCTACTGTGGGGCTTTTAAATTTTTCCCTCTCCCAGCTCTACTGTGGGGCTTTTTAATTTTTTCCCCCTCCCAGCTGCCCCTATCATGGCCCTGAACAGGGTGAGCATTTGAGCAGCTTGCTGATGGTGGTCCCTGGGGAAACAATCCCCCTCCCCCCAATCCCAGTTGGTCTCCGCCAATCTTGTCTCAAAGGAGCCTTCCACCTCTGCCCGGTGCCCCTCCCTGCCTGGCTCTCCTGCAGGGAGCAAAGGAGGAGAAAGCTGTGTCCACTGGACTGCTCTGAGCGTCTCCTCTGGGAGGGGAGAGGGGGAGAAAGGGGCAAGGGCAGGGCCCAGGGAGGCGCTGTCACCTGCTGTCCAGATGTCTGTGTGTCTCACGTAGCTCCACGTGGCTGGGGCCATGTGAAGACATACAGTCTAATCGGAGAGAAGATCCCATGGTTTTTGTCTTTCTCTGCTCCTCTCTGACTCCCTACTTCCTCTCTGATAGAACACCTTCACGGGCCCCCTGCCTCCTCTCTCAGACTCCCTACCCCTTGCGACCAATTCTGACTCCATATCTCACCTCTCGGACACTCTGGCTCCTCCCTCAGACTCCCTGCCTCTGCTCTCAGACTCTCTGTGGCCTCCTCTGGCCCCTCGGGCTCATGCAGTCACTGATGGTAGTGTGACTGTATCAGGGTCTGGCTAGGTAGGGGCAGGAGCAAGGCATGGTGGAGACAGACACCGTCCCTGGGGCTCCTCTCCCTCCTTTGTTCAGACAGACGTGGCTGCTCGTAGAGTC